ATCGTTATCTTGCATCCTATTACGTTGCTTGGGTGTGAAACGATTAAAAAAAGAAAAAAAACAGAAAATGTCCAATGTCTTTTTTTTCCCTTAATTACTCGTGTCTCGCAGACGCAATGTTGCATGTCTGCCGAAACTCTATCGCTATATCTATGTCAAATGTTCGGATGAGCTCCACTCTTCAGTGCCACCAGTTCAGACCTTTCCAGCCAAGACCCGCCTTGCTACGCCCAAAGAGTTGAATCATTCACATTTCCCCCATATTCCATTGTTAAGGAAGACGTTCCACTCTGGAAGCTTCTTCCCAAGAACAGCTTCTTTGTATAGACTACCGCGTGAATTTTTCCCTAACCAAAATCTTACCCTCTTCTAATCTAGGGGGTCAATCGTTATTTATCCTCCAAATCTTTGCTTCCTATTTCCTCCTCCAACGTTCATGTTACACACACACACCATTCAGCTTGAATGGCTCTTGTGGCTTGTATTGGTTGAATATCAATATTAGAAAAGTACAGATCAAAGTAAATATGTCCCCAGTAGTGTTAACGTTGGGTATCATTCAGTTGGGACGGGACTACAGGCACGCGTGTCTCTCACTAAACTTCCACACACGCCACAATATTTGCCTATATTTCAGTTCGAATGTACCTAAGAAACCTTAACTGATGAGCCAAGGATCCCTGCTCCCCCGGCTGCTACTGTCCTGTGTACTATAAAGTTTTTTTTTTATTTTTATTTTGAATTTAGATTTTATATTGACATGTATTAACGAGCTATACATAAAACCCCAAGGGCTGAATGTGGCTCGCGCGTCACGGTTTGGCGAACCCCTTTAATAACATATGCATAAATATGGCTACCTTAATATCGCTGAAATAATAATACTTATCAAGTTAGTTCAATTTTTATCGTGTTTTCCTGACTCTTGAAAGTTCGCTGAATTGATACATCGTTGTATTCGCCTGGGGGGCAGATAAATGATAAGTGTAAATGAGGATATATTCTTAACACATGACTTTTTAAAAATAACAATCCTGGTGACAATCCTTAAAAATAAAAAGAATTTTCTTACTTTGTCAAAACAGTGAGAGAGAGAGACATGCTATTCATTCGTTTTACGTCACTGATATCGAAACGACGTTTGGATAAAGCGAAGCATATCGTGCATAAGATTTCGAGAAGAACAGGAGTGAATTTCTAAACTAGGATAGTAGACTCCTAAAAAAAAGTCGGAAAAAAAAGTATTGTTGATCATTCTTCTAACCAGGAAAGAGATTTAAAAAAAAAAATCAAATCAGGTAAGAATTTTAAATACTAACTTTTTTCTTTAAGTGACGGGCTGTGGTTACCGTGTTTTGTTTTTTTTTTAGTTTTTTGTTTTGTTTTTACAGAGTGAAGTTAGCTTAGCAGTCCCACGTCCAACCAGTTTTAAATGTGTAGATTGTAATGTCTGTTTTTGTTGCTGTGGTTGTCTTTTTATTAATTTCCAAGTTTGATTGCCAGCCAAGAGTGTAGCCTGTCCTGCTGTCTAATCCATAGATAGGGGGAAAAGTTGGATTCGTTTTTTCCAAGGTATTTGTGATAAAGTGAATCTCTAACCATATGAGTCAGAACTACAATTCGACATAACGATCTTTTTTTACGCACCAGTTAGCACCACGCCACACACTCGTTTTTTTTTTATGTAGATGTGTTTGTGAGAAAAAGATTATTTACCTGTCTTCGTATGTCTGTCTCAAGGCAACGTTTTTGTGGTGCTTGTTGTGTTTCATGTGAATCTAACTTGAAATGCTTTATAAGACAAGTTTGTTAATTCTAAACGTAATCACCTGGAATATGCGTGCGTGTTTACCCAGCCACCGAAAACAATATTTTGTAACAGGTCGGCTTCTTCTTCCTTCTCTGTGCAGTGTCCCTTCGAAATGTAGGTCATCATGGCTCTCCACAATATCCTCTCCTTTGTAGCTCTTAATAAATGTTGTCCTTTTGTTATTTCTCCTCAACCCTGTTTCGTTATCCATTTACTAAGTAAATTGTTTTACCTCTGTCCCTCTTGCCTTCAATTTCTCCTGTGAGGATCAGATTCTCCAGGCCCTCTTTCCTCACTATGGAACCTAGAAATTTTAACTGTCTGTTCCTGATATTAAGTATAAATTTCCTTTTTGTTTCCATTTTCTCTTTATCGTTGTTCTCATGTTGTGTCCATACTATCCTCAGCATCCTTTTAGAACCACATTTCTGTTACCTGAACTCGTTTCTTCACCTTTGAGGAGATTGCCCAGCATTTATCTGGAGTTTTTTCGCAACAAAGTCTATGGTCAATCAAGGTGCCACAAAATAAAAACTGGACGCTAGATCAAGTGTTAAATTAAACCAGGGTTAAGTCGGATATTAAGCTTTAATTCTATATTTTATTTAACGCTCTCATAAAATTAACATGTTTTAGATCTGTTTTATCTCCAAAGATTCGCTGAAAAAAGAGCATACTATGATGAAAAAATACCCCAAACTTAATAAAAACAAAGTTTTATCGTCAAAATCTTTTATTATTAAGAGGAACGACTAAAAGATTTTGCCTTTCATGCGTCAGCGGTGACCATAAATTAGTGTGAGGAATTTTATCGCCTTTTTGTGGTGAGAAACATTGATTTCGAAATTCTTGCAAAAATCAGATAATTTTCGGATTTTACTAAAACTTTCACGACTGATTTACAAATGAATGAAATTAGTTTAGGAACGTTTCTTTTTAGAAAATATTTAAAAAACAAAAAAACAAACATTTTTTTACATCTATTTCTACCCAATTTTTTTTTGTCAATGTGGCCGATTTTAGAGATTTACAAAAGCAATTTCTTACAACATACTCTCCTACAAATAGGAAGTTGTTAGAGAGTCAGAAGGGACAAGCAGGACTGGTGCAAGGACCTCATACCTCACTCCCCGAATCTATAATACGTCTCCCTCTCACACTATTACATTTCAATTTTCATATGTTAGAAACATTGATTTGGAAATTCTTGCAAAAATCAGATAATTTTTGGATTTTACTTAAACTTTCACGACTGATTTACAAATGAAATTATTTTAGGAACGTTTCTTTTTAGAAAATATTGAAAAAAAACAAAAACATTTTTTTACATCTATTTCTCCCCACTTAATTAATATTATGAAATTTTGAGAAATTCATTTTTGTAGAGCTTAATGTTTATATAAGTTATAAGCACAAGTCCGTGGACAATTTAAATCATCAATTTTTTTTATCAAACAGGGCCCCCAGTTACAGAAAATCTGCCCTAAATCGTAAAATAAGCTATATAATAAAAGCAAGACACATTATTTAGAATATTTTAATTGCTTTTATGAATAAGAAATGTTATGGATATTATTACCTTAAGAAAAAAGTTTGTTTTTCGATGAATAATGAATTTTTGCAAGAATTGTTTTCATTTTTTTTTTAAACTTTAATTATTATCATTTATAGTTTTAAATCTTTTAAAATTCCGTAATAATTTGTAGCGATTAGATGGTATTGTTACTAAGTAAAAACTATATTCATTAATCATAAATGAAAAAGCTTACTACAATTTAGTGACCCCAGCCCCTGGTATTTTAAAAAGAATATTTTTGCCTCTATAAAACTAACAGTTTTTGTAAATACAGACGCCAATCACGATATAATCAGAAAATAAGAGCGGTAATTATAGTAAATTTAAAATTTATTGGTAATTTTTTAACATTACCTCAACAAGCCGCAGTACCTAAAATTCAATAAAAAAAATTAGATTCCTTAGAATATTTTCCCGATTTTTTTTAAGATTACTGGGTATTTAGAAAAAATTATAAAATAAGGCGTTCACGTTGTATTTGTCAAGTAATTTTTACATTTATATGCCCTTTACTTTAAAATTTCAAACATTATCGATAAATAATTAACAACTCATAAAAATTCCACCTCAGTGTTAAAAAAAAAATGCTTTTCTGCGATATTTTAATGTAAAAGTAGTATTTGTTTTAATTCAGATTAATTAAAATTTAAATCAGTTAATCTTCCCCAAATAAATTTTCAGAAAAGTATATTTTATTTTTGAAAGACTTTTTAGACATTTTTTGTCAATTTTGGCCGAATTTTAGTGATTTAAAAAAGCAATTTCTTACAACATACTCTCCTACAAAGAATAGGAAGTCGTGGAGAGTCATAAGAGACATGCAGGGCCGGTGCAGGGATCTCGTACCCCACTCCTCCGAATCTATAATACGTCTCCCTCTCACACTATTACATTTCAATTTTCATATGTTAGTATTCATATAAAATACAAATTTTATTGATACATAATTATGTACTATAATGAGCAATCATTTATTTAACTGCAAGATTCACCTTGTACAATGCCCGTGGGCCACTAGAGGTAGAAGATTGAATATGCAATATAGGTGAACAATTCCAACTAGAAAAATTGAAAATAAATACAATGTATCTAAATACAAATTAGAGATTCGTCATAATAGATCATTCCATCTTAAATAAATCAAAAATGTTTTACGGCAAATTTTAACGACTTGAGATTTTTCTGGTTAAAAAGTTGAATAATTTTAACACATTTAAGATTATGGATAAAAAATGGTGATTTTCATATCACGGATTTCGACGAGACAAAAAAAAGCCCCCCCCCCCCCGAATGACGTCAAAATCAGCGGAAATTTTTTTTATCCTTCAATATTCAGTTGTGCCTAGTTTAAAAGTTTGTAACATATATAGATTTAGGTAGAAAAAAAAAAAAAGTGAGGCTCACAAAGCACTGATCGTGTCCCCAATGAGGCTTAACACCCCGCACAGGCAAATGATACAGCTCAACAGCATTGTCACAGATAGAAGGCAACATTAGTCAATAGTGTTTAGTTTTCAGTTTCAGCAAAAACTTTGGGAAAGTCTTTAGCACCCCCACCCCCTCCTGGCACTCCGGCAACACTTTTGATGATTACTAAAGGCAAACATATTCATTATGAGAGGCACAGATTTAGTTGTACAACTGAGTGACCTCAAATATTTTGTAAGATGATATCATCTTCAATAATAATAAAAAGCCAGTCTCGCGTATACTTTAAAAATATTGTGTGACTCTTTTTTTCAGTCACTCTTTTTCGCTGAGTTGTAGATTTTTTCCTCCTTTTTCTCTCTTCTTCTTCTTTTCACTTCTTCTCTCTTCATTCTCCTTTCTTATTCTCTCTTCTCTCTTCTTCTCTCTTCTCTCTTCTTCTCTCTTCTCTCTTCTTCTTCTTCTCCTCCTCCTTCTCTCTTCTTCTTCTTCTTCTCTCTTCTCTCTTCTTCTTTCTTCTTTTCACTTCTTCTCTTTTCATTCTCCTTCTTCTCCTTTCTTATTCTCTCTTCTTCTTCTTCTCTCTTCTCTCTTCTTCTTCTTCTCCTCCTTCTCTCTTCTTCTTCTTCTTCTCTCTTCTTCTTCTCCTTTCTTATTCTCTCTTCTCTCATCTCTCTCTTCTTCTCCTTCTCTCTTCTTTCTTCTCCTTCTCTCTTCTTTCTTCTCCTTCTCTCTTCTTCTTCTTCTTCTTCTCTCTTCTCTCTTCTCTCTTCTTCTTCTCTCTTCATTCTTCTCCTTTCTTATTCTCTCTTCTCTCATCTCTCTCTTTTTCTTGTTCTTCTCTCTTTTTCTTCTTCTTCTTCTCTCTTCTTTCTTCTCCTTCTCTCTTCTTCTTTCATCTCTCTTCTTTCTTCTCTGTTCTTTCTACTCCTTTTTTTCTTCTCCTTCTCTCTCCTTCTTCCCCTCTCTTCTTTTTCTTGTTCTTGTTCTTCTTTCTTTTTCTTTCTTCTTCTCCCTTCTTCTTCTATTCCTTCTCCTCCTACTCATTCAGAGCGTAGACAACCATGACTCACGAAGAAAAGAGCCTTTTAAATTCAAACTTAATTTTTTTTAACATACTTGTTTATATGATGGCACCAAAGTCTAACCGATTCATTTAGTTTATTTTTCTGGTATGTTTATGCTTCCATCACTTTTTGTCGCACATTGTGATAATAGAAGATCTGCCAATATCTGTCTCTATTTCTGAGATGAGGTATTCTATTTATTATTTACATTATTTACATTGTTCAAACTGTTGTCCTCGTCTTTATTGACGTAGTCACACCGTTTCGGTCGTTGTGCGCTCCGACCTTCTTCAGGTGATTGGATACATAGCCCAGTGGATGAAAGCGTTCCTTGGATCCAATGACTTGAGTTGTGAGGCTGTACTGAACAAATACTCAGAAAGTTGAATTACAGGGAGATAACGGAGACATCCGGAAGCGGTATGGCACGTGGAACTAGAACAATCTACCCCGGTGGACGAAATAAAGGGTTCAGTTCGAAATTCCATTCACCTGAAGGAGGCCGGAGCGTACAACGGCTGAAACGTCGTGAACATGGCAGTAAAGATGAGGACAACAGTCAACAATGTAAAAAAAAGATGAAATGTTGTAAGGATGTAAATTTATTGTGTATGATCTAGCAATCAAAGCACTTTCTATACATTTGCGTCTTAGTATTTTTTTCTTTTTCATTAAAGCTTCATTTTTTAAATTAAAATTAAGGTTAAACTCATTACGCTGTGTAACTAATGTATTAAGTGTGTTATGTTTTTTATATAATCTTTTATTTAAATTTCTTGAAATCTCTTCAATGTAGGCATCTCCACTAATTCGCCGAAAAAAAACTGCATAGCTTGATGAAAAAAAGGTCCCAAACTTAATTTAAAAAAATAGTTTTATCGTCAAGATGCTTATGTTATTAAGAGGAAAGGCCTTTTTTTCATCAGGGTATTCTCTTTTTTAGCAAATTAGTAGAGATAACCCCTTCTATGTATCTCTTGTGACAATTATTACAGGTGATAGTAATGTTTATGTCAAGTTTAGATAAATTCTTTTAAATAGTATCTGTGATAAAATTCGTGGGTAGAACAATATATTTTGATTCGTTGGGTTTTTCACAAAGAATAGCTTTTCATATTTGAACTATTTCTACAGGCCTTTTGTTTCGTGTTGAATATGAAATAGGATATTGGGAGAGTTTAAAAATAATTTAAATGTATTTCTCATTTTTATTTAAACATTGAGGGCTGCATATTCTGAATGCCCTTAAATAAAATCCAGAAAACCATCGGATTCTATTTAAGAGCACTCAGATATGTTGATATAGTGACAATAAAAGTATTATGCGATAGTTTTTAGTCGTTTATTTGTGGTGGACATTTAGTTTTAAGTTATTGCCACGACCGTGTAATATCATATCTGGGAAAGACAGAGCATTGTTTGTTTTCATTTCATAAGTAAATGCTATCGCATGTTCGACCGTGTTTAGTTCATCTACAAGGTCAGGTAAATTAGTTTCGCGAAGATATATCAATAGATTTTCATCAATATATCGGAACTTTGTTGATTGTTCAGGTAAAAATATTTTGGAAACAAGATTCAAAAAAGTTTTGAAAATATATGCCAGGACCCCGCTTAGTCTGATGAAATCCTAAAGTCGAAAACGCGAACACGAAAAATTTTTCCACTTTGTCATAATTTTCTTCCTCATATATATATATATATATATATATATATATATATATATATATATATATATATAATTACTGAATCATACAAAAACAAATATATAACAAACATGTTTAAACAGGATCATATCATTTATATACAGGTTCAATAAGTACACTAATTGAAATTGTTTATGAAGATGTATTTAAACATTTAAATCATTAACCTTTATATTTCGGAATTTTATATCTGATTCATGTAATTATAAATTAAATTGCAATCTAAATAATAATCGAAATTAATGTATATATATATATATATATATTTCTGAGATGAGGTACTATGTACATTATTTACATTATTCGGATTATTGTCTTCATCTTTGTCGCCATATTTATCACAACGTTTCGGCGTTGGTTTCTTCAGGTGGTTGGAATTTCGAACTGAACCCTTTATTTCGCTCACTGGGGTAGACTGTTCTAGTTCCACGTGCCATGTTTTGATGGATGTCAGTTATCACTTATCTCCTGTTAATTTCCCTCTCCAAGTTCTCCACTGCCTTAACCATAACTCACACTCTTTGGGTTCTGTCACTGGATCTAACCAACGCCTTTATCCACTGTGCCATGTGTCCTTGGGAACATCTGGGTATGAATTTCTGGGTATTATAAATCTAATGTCTTCAGCAACCATTTTTACCAGTGCTCATATTGCAATTTTTGCTGTTATCATCCATATTTTTACCAGAGCTCATATTGCAACTTTGTTGTTATCATTGCGTTTCTCTGGCACTTCTTATTACTGGTTCCCATATTGTATTTATTTCTATGCTTGGTCGGCTCAGGAGATTTTTGTGGCCTAGCATATGTGCTGATTCCTTAAGTTTACGAATTTTCCAATGGTGTTCCTTGTCTATGATCTCAACTTGATCCCAACAGAGGGTGGTGATCTCCCTTCTCTCTCCATATGAGGTCAGCCACGCCTGATTTTTCCACTTTCCCTCGTGTTACAGCTTTCTGGTGTTTTTGAAGCCTTACCTTAAGAGGGCAGCCTGTCTCCTTTACATTTCTTTCCACAGCTGCACAGGATGGCGTACACACAGTCGTTAGTCATGTTCTCCTCTATGGGAGTCTTACTCGGGAGAGATATCTGCGAAGTGTTGTGAAGCTTTTGAAGGTTGTCTTGATGTTATATGGACCGCAGATTCTTTGTATTTTCTCTGATAACCCCTTCACATAAGGCAGGCAGACTGTTTTCTGAGTGTTGTTGTTCTCCTCCTCAGAGAAAATACAGAAGACATTGCTTTTCTCTAAGGAGATTTTTATACAAACAGACCGTAGCTGAGGTTTGAACTCGACCCGCCAATTCCAAGTCTGGAGCCGTTAACGGTTAGCAACCCGTGACTTTTGATGAAATATGGGACTGTAAATTTATTTTGCTTTATTTCGCGCTAAATTTACTATAGTACATCTACGTGTTTTGAAAACAACTCTGGGCTTGTTTGTTTCATATATCCGGGATGCATATATCGTTTGCAGGGTGGAGGTATTTGAAAATTGTGGGGGAAGACAATTTAAATCAGAGAGACAGACATTGTCGGGTAAATTTATCAGAACATTTTTCCACACACATACACACACACACACGCGTGTGTGTATATATGTATATATAAAAATATATGTAAAGAATTCATTTATTTTCAATCCGCCATTTTTATTATTTTCTTTCACAAATTTTCAAGCCGATAGATATAACACTACTTAATAATAATAATAAACATAATTATATATATATATATATATATATATAGAAAGAACACTGAGGTTCTTAGCATTTTTTTTTTTTTAAAAAACAGTGCTAGATACAACAGTAGAGCATAATATCATAAATATTTTTTTAAATATATAATCATCGCAACACCGAAAGTCCCATGTTTCAAAACTGAAACTTCAATTCCAATTCAATCATAAATATTAAAATACAAAGTTCCGTTCCATTATCAAACCATGCTAAGATATATATATATTTGGTTGGATTGATGTGAGTTTGTGACTCTGGGTTGCACGCTTTTGCGATCGTCAGACAAACTCTCAAAATATGTTAGCTCTATCTCTGATATTGAGCGCTTTCTAATAAGTACCGCGCATATAATATATAAATAATTATATTTATTTATATTTATATACATACATTTTTCACACACATATAATTAACAAATCGGAGACTTCAGAAAGCCGTGGTAATATTTTATATTTCGCGAGACCGATATGAATTCGGTTTCGCTTCATCAGATCTTGCTGTTTCAAAACAATGAGTGGATTCAAATGGAAAACAAGATTAGCAAAAGTTGTGTTTTAAGATAGTTACATAGAGTAGGAAGAGGGGGAGCGAGATATATTTCTCTAGGAGATACGATGGTTGTGGTGTTGACCTCTCATTCACTGGACAAGAGAAAGGAACAAAGAAAGGGGTAGAGGCAAGGAACAGAAGAGAGGAAGGGAGAAATCGGAGATCTTACACAAATCCCTATACGTACATACATACATATTTTTCTATATACACATATAATTACACTTATACATATGTGCCTACATCCATACACACATTCGCATCCATCTACACATATGTGTTTTCACGTAAATGTGTCCACCCATACATATGTATACAAACACATATACAACCATATTCATCTATTTATATTCATAAATACTTATGCACATATTTGACTATTACATTTCTAAATCAGTATTTAGATAACATGTAAGATGTCCTCAAATACATTACTAATCGTGTAGCTATAAACGGGCACTTAAGAGTGTTTTTCATCAAGTGACCCCCAAATATATACACAATGTTTAATCTATGCCCCTACATATGAGAGAATACAACATACAGCACACGAATACACACCTGCCTATTTACACAGACAGATGTACACATGTTTGCATGTACGAAAACTATGTCCCAACACAGATACAAAAGCAAGGAAGTACCATAGTATGCTTGTGTATACACGTACATGAAGGAGAGAGATATGTGAGCGTTAGATGCCCAGGTGAGAAGGTTTTTATAAAGTGAAGTCACGTGATTAAGGGAGGGGGATTTCCATGAAGGATCATAGGTGGTGATTCTGCATACACATACATACACACACATTATATATATATATACACACACACACACACACACACACACACACATATATATATATATATATATATATATGCATTCCCTCAGACATGCATATACACATGTACCTATCCACATACATATACGCATGCACAAATACATGTATTATCTTATATATATATATATATATATATATATATATATATATATATATATATATATATA